CAACCACTTCCAAGTCCTTTTACTCAGTGACCACTGGGAGAGTAATGCCATTCATTGAGTAATTGTGCACGTGACTATGAGATACATGCATAACTACACTCTTGCTTAAGTTAATCTCCAAGGCCCAGTGCTTACACCAATCATTTAACAAGTTTAAATCTTCCTGTAAAGCAAGTTGATCGACGATGAAAACTCAGAGCAGAGGTGTTTCTCGCCAGGTTGATTTTCTGAGCTAAATATGCTTTGAAAGCATTAAATGTAACATACATATTCCCGGTAGTCTAGTTAATATTCACTGAGATTAAACAAGAGATATGAATTTATGTGATCCAGTGAGTTTACAGTTGGACAGTTGAAAAATCTCATTATTGCTAATGCATTAAATGTTGATGATATCTGACTGGGAATAAAAAAAATTATATACTTTTTTCTAAATCATTAAGTGATATTTAACGATGAACGAGATGGCCGTTAGACAACGCAGCTTAGTAAATGATTTCAAATATTATGTAACTTGAGTACCTCGAAAGTTTTCAATCTCGCATTATATTTCTAACGAGAATGCAAACGGAGGTGTCGTTAACTACAGCACAGAGTATTAGCAAATAAGAGAAAAATCAATTGATAAAGTATCAAGAGTAAAGTGATGACAGTTTGTCAGAAAAGCGCCAGGACTGACGATTTACAGTTGATCCTACCGGATAAGACTGAATGTATCGACAAATTGTGAATTCTTTGAATTTAGATTTAAGATGTGCTGTGAAATATTTAGGGTTACTGGTTCACCTTTCTCGACGGTTTAGCAGTCGATAGCTCGTAACTCACTTGATTCTCCTGAAATCAATCTCTATTCGTGAAGATTGCTTCACCTACTAATCCTATAATTTTATATCCTATAATTTATATAATTATATATATATATATATATACAACAAACCTTAACGGTTTCAAGAGTACAAAGCACAACGCTTAACATAAAGCAAGATACCGCTATCAGAGCGGAATAACGTTAAAACCAAAATTGCGAACTAGCCGGAATCAGACACGATCGTTCAGGTAAGCAGTCGGTAGAAGAATGAACCCAAATGAGAGATAGACAGAGCATAGGCACAAAAATAGAATTTAATTGGCTACTTAACCAGGTAGGCTGATACAGATGAAGATCAATAAATAAGATAAACTCGACAGAATAGTGCAAAGTAAGACATGGGTCAGCAAAATAACAGTTCACAAAAATACTCTGTTGGGTCATGAGTTCAACTGTCTGACTAAACGGATCGATGTAAAAATACACACAGTTCATTAAACAAGGGGAGATAGACACGTTAGGCATGGTTAATTGGGTTGCAACAACCCTAGGCTGATCCGAGACAGGTTGACTTGATTCAAGGATGGGAATTAAATTGATCTTACAATTATTATTCTAAGTACTAACAACGACATCAAATTCACAAGAGAAGAGGAATCAGGAAACCAAATCCCATTTTTGGACGTCTTAGTCAAGCGAACAACCACAGGGGAATTAGAAACTCAAGTCTATAGAAAATCAACTCACACAGACCAAATCCTGAATTACAACAGCAACAATCCAATAGCACACAAGAGGAATTGCATACAAACACTATTCAAGAGAGCCAGGACTCATTGCAGCAATCCCACCTTAAGGAAAATTGAAGAAAAATATCTCATGGACGTCTTCCAAAATAATGGATATCCACGGAATTTCATCAAAAGACATATACCCCCAAGCCAACCTATCAAACCAAAAGCCCCCAAGGAAAGCATAAAGAAAATCGCCTTACCATATATAAAGAACATCTCAGAAATCTCTACAAAACTCTTCAAGCCTTTAGGAATTGACGTCGTACACAAACCAACAAAGTTACTTCACTCAATTATATGTCAACCAAAAGACTCAATAGCGAAGGAAGATAAACCCAACATCATCTACAAAATAGATTGTATCAACTGCGAAAAACACTACATTGGCCAAAATGGACGTCCTCTTCGTCTTCGTATCCACGAACATAAGCTAGTTGTCAAAAGACATGATATCCACTCCCTCATATCACTACATACAGACAACCAAGGACATCAATTCGACTGGGACAACGTTCAAATATTAGACAGAGGAAACAACAAGAATGCTAGAGAATTTTTAGAAGCTTGGCATTCCGGTGAATCATCAATCAATAGACACATCGAGATTGACAAAATTTATCAACCGATAAGAAAGAAACCTCACACACACACAAAGGGTCAAAGTTCAAGTCAAAGAAACAATCACTTCCAATATAAGTAACCTAGAAGGTGTGAAAACAGACAATAACAACCAATCACGTCCAAGGTTGCCAGGAGAGATGATTAATAAACTCGTGGAGAAATCTAAAAGCTCACTTCAAATTGAAGTATGCACTGAAGATGTCACCCAGTAGGGTGATGAAAGCTTCGCAAATCAACTTTACAGCTCAGAGAACACAACCACATCAAAACCTCTGCTTAAATTCCCTTACAGATGAAAATTTCTTAACAAACCATTATTTTTATTTTTTATTTATTTTTTATTTATTTTGGTTACAGCTTGATGCCACACCGTATTTTCAGTACAAGTATGGCATTTTCAGCATGGATATCGGTAGCCCAAATTCAGGCCGACCATAGATATCGGGTGTGCGCCGGCAGGGGCTCGAACCTCGGACCATGTGCATGGTCGGCGGGAGTCCTAACCACTGTGCCACCGACGCACACTTTAAACGAAGCAAAAAGAAGTGCTTGTGCAGAATAATATGAGGCCATCATTTATTTCGTTGGATCCACCTCAGCTGCATCCAGCCTGAAAGTCAATTATACAAATATACACAGAATTTCGTCATCCTTGAAAAGATCACCTTGACTTATTAGTTCAGAAAGATTCAGCCTTGGTGACTCAGTGTCTAATCTCTTCGTCTCACTTGATTACATCATCGTTTGCTTTTACCTGCTCAACCTCCGCATTTATTGCTTTAGTGACATTCAGCTCCTCTTTGTTTCTACGACTTGAGTTAAACTCACACCACACTATTACTCATCATCATTAACTTTTCTGCTCTTGTCTTGACTGTGCAACTCAATTTTCAATGTGTTTTTTTTATTCCTTTATGTTCCCAGTGGAACATAGAGGGATTCAAGCTAGAGGCTTGAAGTTTCCGTAGCAGTGGTATTTATTTTTACAGGTTGGGGTTACTAGCCCCATGCCCAACCTTCCAACCTCTTTACCAGTCTTATTACTGGCTTAGTGAGGTAAAGGAGTGCGTCAGTTGCCAGGGATCGGATCCCGGACCACGTGTGATGTGGTTGGCGAACACTCTACCGCTGTGCCACTGACGCACAAATTTGTGTGTTTGTATTTTGCTTGAGACTTGACCTCCTTCATAAATTATATACGGGGATATTCAGAACATTGTTTATTAACATGTGTGTCTCTGTTAACAAAAAAGTCATGTTGATCCTCGCAAGTATGACAAAGTTATGTGTAAATTTACATGATCAACATTGCAAACTTGACTGATAGAATTCTATCTGCACCAAAGATAGGACTAGAAATATTACACTGGTTACAAACTAATGGTGCGTCGGTGGCATAGCGGTTAGGACGCTCGCCGACCATGCACATGGTTCGGGGTTCGATCCTCGGCCGACGCACTGCTTTACCTCCCTAAGCCAGAAATAATGCTAGTGAAGAGTAAAGGTTAGGCATGAGGCTAGCAACCCCATCCTGTAAAATAAGCACTGCTACAGAAACTTCAAGCCACTAGCTTGAAGCCCTATGTTCCAGTGGGGAACTGAAGGAAAAAAAATAAAAAAATAAAAAAACAAACTAATGGCTAATCAAAAGTATCCAATACAGTCCTACAGGGGTGAATCGCGAGCGTCTGACTGTAGCAGTTATGGCGTGACACGGGTTCGAATCTCAAAAGTGTCATGAGTTCTCTCAAGCTGGTTGCAGATACGCCTTGCTGACTGGTTAATGCCAACTAGCACGAAACCTAGGTGAAGAAAGGCTTCCTGCCGATTGCCTCCAATCATCTAATATGATCGACTTTAAGCTTATAGGTAGGTGAGGTGAATCCAATAAAATAATTGATGGCGTCATATTATTCTGCACAAACACTTCCTTTCTCTTTGTTTCAATTTAAAAAGGGGAATAAATGGATGAACAATATATTTACGATTATACAGCCTCATAAAAAACTTGTTGAAAAGATTCTCTGCACTGAATATTGTGTTCTCAATACGTTCCAGTGAGAATTATTAAATTATTAACACTCATTCTGTTCAATTGAATTTTTAGATTTTCCCGTCGATTGATTGGACCGAGGTGCTCGGTCTTAGGTTGACATTTCGGCTTCTTGTGCAGATGCTTCAATCATGTCTGGGCATGTAATTAGAATTTAATTGGTAGGTGGTGACTAGCAGTGGAATCCAGGATGAGCATTTCGTCCTATTGGGGACTCGTCAGCCTCGGTGGGAACATCATCACTCACTGTGGAATGCAGGTACATCCAGATGACGAGCCCCAAACAGGACGAAATGCGCGTTGTCCCGGATTCCACTGCTAGTCACCATCCACCAATTAAATTCTCATTCTGTTCACCTCAAAAACCTGGGGAATACTATGATGACAAGATGACTTACTGAGCAAATAATATCCTCTCTACTAAATTCTTTACAGTTTTCTACAGTTATATATGCCCATAATATTTAAAAAGTAATCGCCATGGCCATTTTTAATGAAAACATTTTGATGAAATTAGTTCTGTGAATTTCTCAGCGTACTTGATTTTCTATGCAACATATGACACAGCAGACTTTTATTGAGATTTATTCCCACCTTGAAATAATAATCACTGTATTCACCTTTTTCAGTAAATCTTTCTTATCAATTATTTATCGACAGTGAAATAAATCATTGAGAAGTTCTCCCAATTCGCTTAACTAACTTTTATCTTCTCTTTTTTTAGAAATTTGAATGAGACTACAAATCACTCCGTTAATCAACAACGTAAAGACGAGTCTCCAGTGAAAGAAGACGGTCGTGAATCAGGCATTGATCCGGATACAATGGATGAAGTATCAACACCAATACTAGGGAATTCATTAAGCTTGAACGATATGAAATACACAAATGGAAGCAGTAATAACAATAATGCTAGCAAAAGTAATACACTTACTGAGGAGATAAACAAGCCAAATGTAATTACTGTACTACGACGTTTAGCACGATGTTTAGCTATTCGTATAGCGAATAAACGGCATAATTTGGCATCAGCTAATCAACATGTTGCTAGAAATTCTATTGAAGAGAAACTTGTAAGTTTATGCTTGTAACACTTTCTGAAATACACTGCATATATATATATATACCTTGAATAAGATTTCGTTTTGTGAGAGAAAACTGAATAAAAAGAGTGCCACTAACAACAATCTAACTAGCAGAGACATTCATTAATCTGAAATCACTGTGGGAATCAACTTCACTCAACATGAGGAACACGATTTGGAATTTCAAAACTAATGTCAGATTAGTATTCCCATATGCCTCAGAGACTCGTCGCACCATTTGTTGTTTCTTTTAGTTCCTAGAGAAACATAGGGCTTCAGCCACACGTCTCCATTCTGTTCGGTTCTCACCTGTCCCAACGTTTTCACCTGGCTCCACGTCTGCCCACATGCTTTCATCTCCTCTCCACATGACCTCCTCCATTTCACCCTCGCACTGATGACCAACTCGCCGCTTCCCGTTCGCGTTCCACTCGAGCAATGGCTTGGCGTGTGATGTCACTTCATGGTTTGTTTTCTCAGAGTATGGCCAATCCACCTCCATTTCTTCCTGCATATTTGTTGCACAATTGGTTTCTGGTTGGTTCGCTCCCAGAGATCCCTGTTGCTGATCTTTTCTGGCCATCTGATCTTGAGTATTGAGCGAAGACAGCTGTTGATGAAGGTCTGTAGATTGTTTGAGGTGCTCTTAATGATGCACCAAGTCTCTGATCCGTATAGTAGCACTGACTTCACAGTGGAGTTGAAAATCCGGATCTTATTTTTGATACTGTTGTTGTTACCTCCACACAGACTGTGAGAGTAGTGAAAGCTTGCCTTGCTTTCCCGATACTCGCTTTGATATCCTCATCAGTTCCGCCTGCCTTCCTGTAGTTGAAACGATGCTTCCCAGGTCAGTAGGTGAACGATATTGCTTCTTTCGTCGCACCCTTTACAAAAAGCGTTTCCACAACTTTTATCAATATCTACCTTCACCTGATAATGAACATTAGCAACAAGGAATACTGGGAACTAACAAACCTAGAACCTATTACCCACTGAGGGAAATCATGAGACAGGCCACAGAGTGTGGCTTGAATAGGAAAACACAAGTTGAGCGTCAGTCTGAGGGTGACATGAAAGTAATTTTTTGAAACAAGGATGAAAGCTTGTAGGCAAACGTGAAGTCATTTGGGGAAGACTTCAGAGGATGGGGTGAAATGAAGGTGTGCTTTCGAAGGTCTGTGTTCCACTCGGAACCCAACGGAATAATGAACAATAACAGTATTTTGTGATTTAGTTAGTGCTGGAGTGGAACCTTAAGCACTTTTTTAAGAAGAACACAAAAGTCTTCATATTTTACGTTTAAATTGTGAAAGGAAAATAGTTTTTAGGCTGACCTGCAATATCTTTTAGGTTTGTTTAGTTTTATTGAGAATATTATCAATAATATTGACATTCCAGAATGATATAGCTGTAATGTATTGGGGAATTTATTGATAGTGTAACGAAGAGATTTTTCGTGGAAGAAGTTAATCAGTGGCCTTCATAATACACGCCCATGCTTTAACTACTTAGTAACAAGACCCTTCAATCCGGAATTGGTTTTTGTCCAACTTTCATGTGAATTAGTAATAGGTAATCGTTAGTCTGATGTCATCACATAAACAGGCCATGCATATTTTCTTATCTCATTCCGAGGGGAACGTGTAACTTCAGCAGTACATCTTCATCTCACCTTGTTCTCTGCACTCCTTTTTCTCTGGTTGTACGATTGTCCATAAGCTTTCATTTCCTCTTCAAATGATATCCTCCATGTCACCATTCGGCTCCATACCCGACTCATTGTTTCCCACTTGGGTTTCCCCCCCCCCCAACAGCATGTGACGTAATTTCACTCGACCATCTCCTCAACGTAAATCCAATCCGAATCCATTTCTTAAAGTATATTTGTTGGTTGGATGATAGACTCTTTGTTAATTAATTGTCAGAGTTTCTTGTTGCTAATCTTCTCTGCTATCTGATGTTCAGTAGGTAGCCAAAGAAGGCAGCTATTGATGAAAGTCTACAGCTTGTTGGGTATGCCTTCGATAATACGTGCGCCAGGTCTCTGAACCACATAAAAGTACTGACTGACTTAACATCAGTTTTTGAAAATCCGAATCATGTCTCTGAAATCCTCATCTGCACCACCACAGGCAGCTGGAATGACGCTGCCTAGATAATTGGAAGGAGTAATTTCCTTCTAATTTCCTCTGCTGATGGCATTTAATGTTTTTTGTGGTTGCTCAGGGATCATTATCACCTCTGTTTTCTCTATGTTCACCTCAGTTCCTGTCTTTGCCACTTGCCTCTTCTGCCAACTTGTAGGTTTCCACTGATAAATCTTGGAGTTTTTGTGATATTAGGCATAAATCATCGACAGAGTGCAGACCTCCTACAGTTTTCTTGTCTGCCCGAACTATTGTTCCCTTCTCGCTTCCCAATATTTGCCGTATTTAGCCATTTTTTTCCTTCACATTCCCCAGTGGAACATGGGGCTTCAAGCTAGTGGCTTGAAATTTCTGTAGCAGTGTTTATTTTACAGAGTGGGGTTGTTAGCCTAATGCCCAACCTTTCCTCTTCACTAGCATTATTTCTGGCTTGGCGAGGTAATTGAGTACGCCGGCCGAGGATCGAACCCCGGACCATGTATATGGTCGGCGAGCGTCCTAACCGCTATGCCACCGGCGCGCTGGCCATACTAAACTAGAACAGCAAACAGACAGTTAACATTTGGTAAGAGTGATAGATTAAGTAGTAGTTACATCTGAAATAAGATTGAAACGCAACCCGAGGTGAAGTATCCACCTCCTCTGGTTTAATCAATGACATTAAGTGTGCAGTATTCACATTCCTCCATCAACTCTGCATAGGATTTAGTGAAACTGATCAACAAACGCGAAAGCCAGATTAGGCAAAAGTCCTCTATCTCTAAAAACAAATTGACGTATATATCATATTAAGTAGCCTTCTGGCTGCGTGATTTCATTGAGAATTTTACTAATGAGGTTGCTAATTAAACAGATGGACCAGGTAAGATAATAATTTGTAACGAATATCAAGAATAGCGACCACACAGAGTGCGAACGCACCAACAACCTTGAACGCATACAATTCGTTGGATTACAGAACCTGCCATGTTATCTACATCAAAAAGTCGTTTATTTATGAGACAAATTCACACATTAAAGACTATATTTTACCCTGATGTCACTGAAAAATACATCCCGGTTACTGTGAGGAGTGTCAAATTTCAGTTTTTATAGCTATCAAAACGGTTTCATGGATAGTTTATACGACACATCCGTTTTTTGAAGTGGCGCTACATTTATCTGATCGGGATTAGGGAGTTTCAACAAAAAGACCAAAGTGTACCAGTGTGATTTCATGAAAATTTAATAATATACGTTCAACTTTTGAAATTATTGCCTCCCTTAATCCATCACATTGCTCAGATATCAGTATCAAGCTAGATTTCCTTATAAAATTGCTGCCAATGTGACGCAGTTCAAGAGAATAGTGTCGCAGAAAAACATTTTTAATGAGAAATTTCATTTAGAAAACATAAAAGATGTGTGTCATTAAACTACCATAGCAACGGACTACGACGCTAAAATTAGCGGGTATTTGCAATGAAGCCACTCTGGTTTCATCAATATGAACAATGAAACGCTCTCCTCCTTTTTCTACATATTTACAAGAAAAAATACAGATAATTATAACAAAACACCCTAACCGTAATGCTTACCTCAACCTTAACCCTAATTCTAACCATAACCCTAGCGTGTCATCGACCTATTGTTCAAACTTTACATAAAAACGAAATTTCAAAGAAATTTGTACATCATTTCATGCATTTCATGTTCATATCGCCGCTGTAATAACGCCAGGTCCTGTGACCCAATGAATGCGATATGTATTCAAGATATTTCGGGTGTTCGTACTCCATGGTGGCTATTCTGTAGATTAGCCAAATTTTTAATCCTCAGTGACTGTTCACTTCAGAAACACATAAAAACCAAATATAATGGAGAAGATTTGCAGCTCAGGTGGATGATTTTGATAGAGTTGTGTTCTCTGAGCTAAGCTGGTTTATTTGCGAAGCTCTCATTGCCCTACTAGGCGATGAGTTTATCAGTCATCTCTCCTGGTGGGTGACCTTGAACGTGATTGATTGTTTTCGTGTGTTTTCACACCCTCTAGGCTACTTGTATTGGTACTGATTGTTTCCTTGCCCTGAAGTGAACTTTGATTGACGATTCACTGGAATATCAGGCAGGCTTCTAAGAATTTTCTAGCATTCTTGGTGTTTCCACTGTCTAATATTTGAACGATGTCTCAGTCGACTTGATGTCCGTGATTGTCTGCATGCAGTGATACTCAATTTGAGCAGCAATAATCCAATAACACACAAAAGGAGTTGTGTACGAACACTATTCAGTAGTGCCGGGACTCATTGCAGTACTTCCACCATAAGGAAAATTGAAGAAAGATATCTCATGGACATCTTCCAAAAGAATGGATACCCGCTTAATTTCATCGAAAAACATCTACCCCCAACCCAACCTACCAAATCAAAGGCCCCAAGGATAGCACAAAGAAAACTCAACTACAAAATATAAAAGACATTTCAGAAGTTACTGCAAGACCCTTCAAACCTTTGGGAATTAACGCCACTTCACTCAGCTGGCTCTATGTCAACCAAACGACTCAACAGAGAAAGAAGATAAAGCCAATATCATCTACAAAATAACTTACAACGACTGCGAAAAACACTACATTCGTCAAAATGGATGTCCTCTTCGTCTTCGTATCCATAAACGTAAACTAGCCGTCAAAAGACATGACATTTACTCCCTCATATCAATGCATTCAGACAATCATGGACATCAATTCGACTGAGACAACGTTCAAATATTAGACAGTGGAAACACCAAGAATGCTAGAAAATTCTTAGAAGCCTGCCTGGTATTCCAGTAAAATCGTCAATCAAAGTTCAGTTCAGGTCAAGGAAACAATCAGTACCAATACAAGTAGCCTAGAGGGTGTGAAAACACACGAAAACAATCAATCACGTTCAAGGTCACCCACGAGGAGAGATGACTAATAAACTCATGGAGAAATCTAAAAGCTCACTTCAACAAATTGAAGTATGCGCTGAAGATGTTGCCTAGTAGATGTAGGGCAATGAAAGCTTCATAAATAAACCATCTAGCTCAGAGAACACAACTACATCAGAAACCGAACGATAAAACTTGATACTACTCAGCTCTTTAAATCTTTTTTCTCCGCTTTGTTTCTTTATTGTTCTTTTTCATTCCATTTTTCCCTAGCTACGCTATCGATTAAGTGAATTAAACATGGACAGTGGTTATTCCGACGGTCTGATGAATAGTTGGAATTCATTAAATTCAACTGAACCAAATCGTGGTACAATTGTAAATCGTTTCGACCGTTGGCATAATAATACAATAGCTGTTATACAATTACTGTGTCAGTTAGCACGACGTCTAGCAACACTGGATGCACAATTGTATCATTGTAGTAAGCATACATATCAAGACAGTGTAATGCTGTTGTGCAATCAGGAGGTGAATCAATCGCCTTTATTTTCATCGGTTACTAATATTACTGGTCTAAGTGTTCCTTCGCCTGTTCTTTCATCATCTTTACCACATGAAATTTTCCATGAATTTGATAAAACAAATGGAAGCAATAAAAATGAAAAAGTAAGTTTGCAAATTTTTTAAAATAAAAAAAACAAAAACAAAATATTTTTCCAAATTGGTTCGCATTTTTCAGTCTAAACAGTTTGAAGGCAGAGGGGTGAGGGGGTTGCAATTTCTTACCACAGTTTCATTTAGAAACCAAAACTGTTCAGATCACAATATGTGATCATCAGTTAGGGAAACCTGGAAGTACTGGACAACTGTTTCGTCCTGGTTTGGGACTCTTCAGCATTAAGCACACATTGCCTTGGCTTCCAGCTGAAGACCTTCTGGCGAGTGCATGGGGTACAGTAGGTAGGGTGTGACGACAAACACTCGCCGCCAAAGATATTCGCTAGTGCCAGTCACGCTAATATCGTGAATTGGCAGAAGTTGGAGCTCATGCACTGGCCATTGGGTAGGGTCCCAGTGGCTTAGTGGTCTACGAGCTCTGCTTATAACTGGAAGGCCTTGGGTTCGAACTCCAGTGGGCGCATGCTGATGAAGAGTCCTAAACTAGAACGAAATATCTGTCCAGTACTCACAGGTCTTTCAACACTCCTCTAACCGATGTCAGTTCATGATTAACTAGTAGTGTTTGCCAACCAGATCGAGCTGAGTCAAACCTAGTTCACCGTTGATGAGTTCGACCTTAAATGAGCGAAACAGCCGTCCGGTGTTTAGATCACCTGGATCTGGTTAGCAAGTACTACTGGTTGATATGACTGGTCTGCAACTACTCATCTCAGTAAATCAGTAGTATATGGTTTTAGGCAAAATATTCTTGCTTTACACAGATGTGGAATAGTTTAAGCATTGAAGTGATACCTAAAAAAGTGTCATCTAAAGCGTTTCCAACAGGCTACTGCAGAATTTCATCAAAAACTACCCACTTTGCTCGATAGTGAAGACCAGATGGCCAACCACAAAAAGGAGAATAAGTAACAAGGAACTCTGACAAGCAGCGAACTAGTCAACAACGTTTGCCTAGCCCGAGCAATATGCAGGAGGAAATGGAAGAGATCTTCAAGTGATATCACAGACCAGAACCTCAGATAGAAGACAAATTAGAAGAGATAGGGTGGACGTGGGTCTGAGGATGACATTTTGAAGACCATGTGAAGAGAAAGTAAAAGCTTGTGGTCCTAATCCGTATGTCTGACTGGGGAGAAAGGGAATGAATAGTAATAGAAATAAACAGTCAAGCTGACAACCAAACAGACTGTAGAACAGGATTTAGGCAAAAACGTATTTTCCGCAAAATCTAATCAGGCTTTACAGTTGCATAATAAAGTATTAGTCATGGACATTAGTGTGTCACTTGCAGAGGTAGACTATTCTACATTAGAGGGGAAGGCCATGGGAAGGAGAGGAACTAGACAACTTTTTTCTGAACGTAGAGATTGAGTTGAAAATATTTTTATGGAAACTGACTCAGTTATGCTTAGCAATCGAAGGCGAACAAACTTAGGGAATTGAGGTAGCACCTTGTATAGAATTATAAAGACTGAATTCTTATCAAGCTTGTAGTCTGTATCCGTTAGGTGTCTTAATGGGGAGCTCCTGATTGACTTTACGACTGCTTTACCTGACCACTTTAAACAACCCTTAAGAAGACGACAACGGGCTTGCCAAGTCGTTCTGAATACATAAGTGTCTGCATAAAAATGGTTAAATCAACAGATATATTCGTTAATTTGTAATAAATATAACACGACTTTGAAAGTGAACTTATCTGGTTCCAGTCGAGCTATACCCGTATTACTAGACTAATTTTAATACTATGGAATCATTCATCACCGCTCACACTGGATTCCTTCCCATGTGAACCTGATTGACTGAAGCAAAACTTTCCACAGAAGTCCAGCGGTTCCAGTTGCCACACTTCAAAAAGCACACAGACTGAGAAAACGTTCATAGAGCCTACCATGAACAAAAATGTACAGGAAGAAGTATAAGTATATAGAAAGTGCAGGATTTAGTGGATCTAGGGAATAATGATCATTGAATGCATCTGTGTTACTGAGAACCATTCAAAGCAGTCTCCCAAGCCATTAGTTCTTGGCGTCCCAAAGACTCCAGCCAGGGAAGTCTAAACCTTCCCATATGGCTGGTTCACACCAACAATAATAGAGTTCATGGAATCAATTTCATGGTTTTGTTTAACTACACCCAATCCTGTGTCAGCTAACAGTGCTTGATGAGGAAGACAGTGGACTTAGCATGCTGTACACATGTCTCAGCCATCTCAGTCGATTTAGCTTCACATCCTACCTAACATCCTACACCTAATGTTTCAAACATCTCTAGTCAAAGACAGCCTCTTCAGCTCTTCTAATTTCACTGTCCACTTCACACAGCTATAAGGAATGACAACGCGAACTGATGAGCAGTTCATACGTCCTTTGATAGACAGCCAAAGATGAATAAGGTTGGCAAATGTCCAACAAACTTCTTGTATCCGTACTGACCTAGTAAACCATACTTAAGAGATGAAGGTTACGTCATCAATGTGTGAACTGTAAATGACTCGCTTATCATTACTACAACCGTCTAATTTAATCACACCCTCAGTGAAAACAGAGATCATTGCAATGATTACTTTCGCTTACACCAATAATTCAACGAATCCAGATGAAGTATCTAATGAAATCGTTTTCATATATGCATAATACTCAACCAGCAAGACAATAAAATAATTGGAAAATGTCTTGTACATATAAATGTACGATAAACCTTAAAAGTCTGTATTCGTAGAGATTTTCAGGTATGTTAGTACTTAATTTTATGGGGGTTGAGTTATTGGTCTCACACCCAATCCATCCTCTCTGCTGAGCTTGTCCACGAATTAAGCCTCAAACCAAGTGGGTGTTTGGTGAGCATTCAATCACTGACCCACCGACTCATGAGTTGATCTAATAGAAGAAAATAATTACAATAACAGCGTTTGTGCAACGGCAATTCCTTTCTTTAGAATAGATGCATTTTTACTCAAATACCTAGTCGTATATTATACAATAATGTATAGCTATGAAAACATTAATACGTAGGTAATTCAGTCGAGTCAACTAAACAGGTCATTCTAGTAGATTAGGATCATTTATGCTATTTGGATATAGGAATTTGCTAAAGTGCAGAATGACTGACCCCAGAAAAGCGACATAAGTCTCAGCCAGTATAGCTTGTTGGGTCATTGCAGTGTTCAAGCTCAACCACCACGTCAAGGTAGAAGCTTTCGGTCGGTCTGTCTTTGGGCATAGATGTTTACGATCTCTTTCTCGCGTTAGGTGGTATAATTAAGGTATGTAATGTTGACGTTAGGCGTAGAGTGTTGGGCAAAGAGGGAAAATCACTCGAAGAGGCTATAAAGTTACGTAGATTGAGATGGCTAGGTGACGTGCTGCGCATGCCTAACCATCTCCTCCCTCGACGGGCATTACTAGCTGATATAGGTGCAAGTTGGAAAAGAGTAAGTGGTGGCCAAACAAAAACATGGCCTCATCAATCCATGAAATCCTTGACAGTTAAACTGAGTCAGGTAGGGAGGGAGATGCAGACTTCCGGGTTGGGGCCAGCCCTCGGGACTCTAAGAATCAATGGCTTGAGACAATAGGTGACATGGCTCAAAATCGTTGTCAATGGCTTACGCAGATGTATTCAGTCTCTGTAATCTTTCATTTTCCTTTCTACCATTACTCATTCTGTTTCACTCTTATACTTGTCAAAATTCCTTTGATTCTCTTCATTCATCTTGTCTACCTTTGTGTGCTATTTAGAGCTTGGCAACTCGAACTGCTGCACTTCGGTGCCAAGTTCTATGTTGAATCCAGACAGACAGACAGACCCCAGGAAAGCGAATAGTTTAGAGAAGAATTCAGCAATCCCAATACATACACTGACACACAATCAAACAATAGGATAGGACAGAGTTACAGTTCTAAAATGTAATACATTTAATCACAAGAGGGGGAGGGGGTAGGAGATTGATCATTGAATCTTTCTCGAATCTTCAAATCTATACATAACGCCTTTCTCAAAAAAATCTTTTCATTCTTCTCCTCTTTCAGATCCAACTATTGGAACAACAAAGACAATTGATTACACAAATCAAAGAGGCACAATCCCTGAGAGCTGAACTAGAAACCTGTCGACGACGTCTACTAGAAAGTATACCGCCAAATTTAAAATGTGATCTAACGCATACAATTTTAGGCAAGCTAGGCAGAGATTTTAATGATGAAAGCAATGGTAAATTATCAGGGGACAATAACATTACTAGTACTGATAATAACATTAATAACCATTCAACCAGCTTATATAATAGTAATGAGAATACATCGAATGATTTACCTGAATCACCTTCAACAGTCTCTCCAAACCGACAACAATCTAGTGGTGATAATAAGATTGATATGCATAGTAGAACATTAAAAATTACTTATGATAATAATAATAATAGTAATAACAATAATGACGATGAAGGCAGTTTACATAGTCAAGAGAGAAGTTTAACAATGACACCAACGACAACAACATCACAATTTCTTAGACAACGTGTTGCAGAACATTTAATTGAATTTTTAAATTGGTTTGTACTTTCACAAGTAAGTTGATAAATTATCCATCTAATTATATACATACGTGTACATATATATGTTTTGTAAAAGAGTTTCTCTTGAAATGCACAATAAATGTCCACTTTTTATTTAATAAGGAACTATGCAGACACAAAGTGATAGTGTGGTAATGAGGTCACCACTAGGACCGATTCAAGCCGACATTTTCCTTGCGAAACTAGAAAATGGGCCTTTGGAAGATGTTAATGATGAACTTCAGTTCGATTGTCGGTATATGGATGATACATTTTTGATTATGAAAAAATAAGGAGGAAGCAAAGAACATCCTGGGCAAATTTAACTAGGTTCATCCTGCAATAAATTTTACTATTGAAAATAGAAAAAGACTCTAGTATTTCATTTCTAAACGTCCTTATGACCAGAATAGAGGATGGCACAAGAAGAAGTGTATATATAGAAAACCTACATCAACTGACTATTAGTGTACTCACTTTTTTTCAGCTTCGTGCCCTTAAAATACAAACGCCATCTGATAAAGTGCTTGGTTCACAGAGCAAGAGCAATCTACTCGGATGAATGTCTTCATGAGGAACTTAATAATTAAGTTCCTCATGAAGACATTCATCCGAGTTGCTGAGTGAAAACAGCTATCCAGAAAAAAAATATATGAATCTAAAATCAAAGCAACCCAAGATACCAACAGTTCCTAAAAAGGCCTTATTCTGACAAATTCAGTTCCTCGGAGATAACATCAACGAGGTACTAACACAATGGCTTAGAAATGTGGTAAAAAGAGCATTTCCTGCTTCTGAATTACGCTGTATCTTCAAAACCACTCCTCTTTTGCCTTCAGGAGTAAAAGATAGACTGCCTAAATTCGCTTCTTCCATGTGTATCTACCAATTTGACTGCTCCTGTGGAGCCAATTACCTAAGCCGTACAATTAGGCGTGTTTCTCGTTGGATTTTCCGACATCGCCCTGCGATGTTGGTTAAGTAAAGGACAAACGAAATCTATTCGTATTGTTATTCTGTCACATCTTGTGGACACATAACTCAAGATTGATGTTAATGAGGGAGGCAGCTTTCAAAGTCATTTACCGCTTACCAACAAATCTTAGCTTCGCCGTAAGAGTTCGACTACTAAATATTGCTGAAGCTGTGGGAATCCACATTAAGAAGCCTAATTTACGTGTCCAAAATAAGCTAGTTCAGAAATTGTCCTTACCTTAGCCATCCAGGTTTGAATGATCCTCAATTTTTGTGGAAATTTCCCTAATTTTAGTTGATATTCTATTTGCTATTATATCTTTATTATTATTATTATTTAAGCATCTTTAATGAACTGTAATTCCATTGATCTTACTTTACAAATCGATATTATTTAAAAAACACCAATATTGTTACTGACTACTATTCTAGAATATTCTATGTATATGCGTCGGTGGCACAGCAGTTAGGACTCTCGTCGACCAAAAACATGTTCCGGGATTCGATCCCCTGCCGATGCACACCTGATATCAATGGTCGGTTTGCAAAATTTGGCCTACCGATATCACAGGCTGAAAATTGCATACTCGTACCCAAAATACAGTGTTGAGTCAAGCTATAATCAAAATAAATATAAACATATATGTAATTGTAGAGCCAGAAGAGGAAATTATCGAAAACGATATTCTTTGCTCAATTATTTTGTGTTTTACCAGCAAGTGTTAAAGAAAGTATGTATATATATACTTTCCAAAGTTTAAAAATTGAATTTTTTTCCTTTCTTTATTTATTTTTATGTAGATATTTGAAACAGAAATTAAAGTGGATCAAGACCTGTGGGAAAGTATACAAGATGAATTAAGACTGGAGTTATCTTATTAGGCTTAACAATCAATGATTTCTTCCCATCGGCACTTTCTTTCCCATTCACCAATTTACTCAATCAATCAATTGATCAATAAATGAATCAATGAATCCATCAGTCACTCATCCAGTCACTTTTTCCACTAACTAACTAACTACCTAACTGCCTCATTTGTAAATTTGAAAATGAAAAACATCCTTAAAAAACGAATAAACAAATGTGCATACCCTCTATCAAACGACTGAGAAGCATTCAAACAGTAAAAACATCTATCTCTCTGAGTAATATGCATTACATGTGATATTGAGAATAAATAGTAACAATAAGCACTAGAGTTTTCATTTCCTCCCTTCGCTGGTTTCACTTTTTCTCCTTTTTGTGTGTATTTACTTCCAATAAATCTCTGCTGATATCATCATTTCTTTTCCCTTTTTTTCGTAAATTTTCAAACTGATTACTGCTCATAATCAGTCAACAAAGATGTCGATTTCCTTAACACACATCACTTTGTTAAATCATCACTATTATGCAGGCGTACGTACGTATGTGTGTGTGTGCCTGTGTGAGGGCACGGTAACATGTAACATGCACCACGGGACTGAAAATAGTCTACTCACTAATACGCTCACACTGACTACCTGTCCTACCGTCTCATCGATTCCATTTTGTATACCGTCTGTTTATTCCGTTTTTCCTCTTGATTGAATGTTTTTTTAGAAAAAAATTATTATTTAATAGCTTATGAGCGTGTGCGCGCGCGGTTTCATTCACTATTTTCGTCCTTGTTTTTGTTTTCGCCCATTTTCCTCGCCTCCATCATCATTTCATCGGATGAGTAGATTAATATATATTCACTGTGCTGTTACAGTTGCTGCTTTTCGTATTTATTTTGTTTGTTTTTTTAATTCTCTAATTATTTTCTATCCTTTTTGACTTGACTTTAATTCCCCACTTTTTATGTCTGGAAATAATTTACTTGTAAAACTTATTCATCTTGTCCCATATAATAAATATATCCATTGATGCTGCCTGTTGTCAAGATGGTCCATACAAAAAAAAATATCCTGTATTATTACGTCACCATCATTCAATCACATGGTGGTTTAGTAAGCAAAAATTATCCTGACAATTTCAGCTTATTATTATTGAAAAGATTATAAAATATTATAATCAATGATATTATTATTATTACTATTATTATTATTATGATTATCATTCTTTATCTAAATAACAGAGTGACCTTTCTTTCTCAGATGTGAAGAAAATTAGACATAAATTCAATAAAAAAATAAATAAATAAATTGTTCTCCTCTTCTTTGATTGAACACTTTGATTGGTAACTAGTTGGTGTGATGTGTCTGGCTAGTCCTTTGTTTGGTGCAGTCAGGTTTTGCAATGTGGTCACCATTTTAGGTAGCTGGCTTTCACGGTGAACATTGATTTGATGATATTAGATGGTTGGTTGGCGGCAATCGGCCACAGGAAGCCTTACTCGATCTAGGTTTCGTGCTAGTTGACAAACACTAGTCAACAAGGCGTATCTGCAACCAGGCTTGAGGGAACTCATATACCTTCTGAGATTCGAATCTATGTCCCTTGACCCAGAGGAGGTCAATCGCGAGCCCGAATGGTTTAGTGGTAACGTCCCTGACCGCAGAACTGAATGACGAGGGAGATAAGTTCCCTCTAGCTGGTTGCAGATACGCCTTGTTGACTGGCAAGTGCCAACTAGCACGAAACCTAGATCAAGTGAGGCTTCCTGCCGATTTACTCCAACCATCTAATATCATCAAACCAATGTTCCCCTCTTCTCTTTTATATAGAAAGAATAAATATACCACATTATACCATATTAGATCCTATTATAAATAATGGCAACAAAAAGGAAATAAAGAGATTTCTCATGAACTTCATGCATTTATTCCCCTTTATGAATTTGAATAAAGCAAGAGCAACAGTGGTTTGTGCAGAATAATATGGTCCCATCATGGTTCGTTTCGTTGGCTTCTCATCAGCTGCTTACAGACAACAAAAACTATTAATAAGTTTATGCACAGAAAAGTTGCAACATACTTGCAAATTTTATAAGATGTCAGTTAGTGACAGGAGGTTACGAACTTAGTGAACAGTTCTCAGAAAATTACACTTATATGATTTTAATTTTTGTTTGACAATTCCAGTGTAAACACACACCAAATAATTATATATAAATGTGATTGTACAGCTGAGTGAATGTATTTGCCGAGAAGAGACTCTTTACTGGACGTTTTGTTCTTATTTAGGTCGAAATATTAAGGGATCACAATCACCGACAACAGTAGAAAAATGAGGTAAGAGCTTCAAAGGATCTAAGTAAATGATATATATATATGGGTTACATAACATCACCGAACTTAACTTTATGACCCATCTCTGTGATGTGGCTGAGACATAGATGACATTGAACATCAGTGTCCAGGATTCATTGACTCAGATGATTTTACCTGTTCCTGCAGGCAAATTAGGAATGTGTTCTGTAGTTCTGAAGTGAAGAGATTTATGTGTCCTCCCTATGTACATGTGGCCATATATACGCGTTAGTTGGTAATAAACGGATTTCTTTTGGCTTAGATAAATGAATTTCGTGTTGTTGTGTTCTTTGTATGTTGGATGGTTCAACTGCAAAAAATATTACTGCTGTCTTGGACAAACTCTCTCTTCAGAGTTAACTCTGTAATAAAAGGGAGCACTTTAGGAATTCTTCATAAACTAAATAATCAATCGTCTTTTCATTGAGCCAATGTTTTTCTCTTATTGTATATTTTATTCACCTATATTGACACTGATTGATTTTCGTTGACCGGATATTTATTTGTCTGTCTGTCTGTTTTCGACATAGAACTTTGCACATATGCGCAGCAGTTCAAGTCGCCACACTCCCTCCATGTAGCACACAAAGCAAGAGAAAAAAGTAGGAGAAATGCATATTAGAGACAGTAAACAGAGGTGTGAGACAAAGAAATAGTAATAACGAAGAACAAAACAGTTTCGTTGGAAATCATGAGTCACAAGGAGTGGATGCATCTGCGCCAGCCACTGAGAACGATTTTGAGCCATGTCACCAATTGTTTCCAACCATTGAATTTTACCGTCCCGAGGACCCCAACCAGGAAGTCTACACCTTCCTACGTGGCTAGCTGGCTTAAACTAACTGTTGTGGATTTCACTTAACTGGTGCCATGTTTTGGTTTGACCGCCGCTAGCTCTTTTCCAGTCTGATGATATATCAGCTAACATTGCCCGTCGAGGAAGGCGATGACTAGGCATACGTAACACATGTCCTAACCATCTCAGTCGATGTAATTTTACAGTCCCGTCGACTGATTTCCCCGCCTTACCTAGCACTCGACCGAAGCCTAACCTCAATATTGCTCACCTTATTATACCACTTCACACGGGAGATAGAACGCAGACACCTATGATCAAAGACAGCTAATCTTTTCATGTCTTCTGTTCTCAATGGCCAGGTCTCGCTTACAGCCATAAAGGAGGATGGAGCGGACTGCTGAGCAGTACACACGCCCTTTGGTCGACAGCCAGCCAGCGGAATATCACGTCTACGCCAGAGACGGCGTAAACTGGCATATACGAAACTAGCCCTCTGTATCCGTGCTGAGATTTTGTCAGAGATCAACCCGTTGGGGCTGATGGTACTTCCCAAGTTAGTCAAGTGGTCAACGTGCTCTACCACTTCACTTCCTATTTCTAATCTAGGAATCGGTGTAGTCCAATCCTGTAACATCATCTTGCATTTGGCGGCAGCGAATTATATGCCAAACATTCATAGATTGCAGCTCAAGGTGTTCAGAAGACTCTGCATTTTGTCAGCGTCCTCGCCTAGAAGGACTATATCATCTGCAAATTCTAAGTCAACGAGATTATTCCCTGGTGACAAAAAGTCAATCCCTGAGTCTCTGAAGTGAGTTAGGGTTAAGTCCATTAGTACATCTATGATGAATGATTATTTATTTGACTTCTAGATTAAGTGATTAAGATTCTTCAATAGTTGATAAATGTTAGCACTGAAGATGGTGGCGTCGGTAACACAGCGGTTAGGACACTCGCCGACCATGCGCATGGTCCGGGTTTCGATCCCCGGACACTGACGCACTCCTTTACCTCGCTAAGCCAGAAATAATGCTGATAAAGAGGTTGAAAGGTTGGGTATGAGGTTAACAACCGCATCCTGTAAAAATAAACACCACTGCTACAGAAACTTCAAGCCACTAGCTTGAAGCCCTCTGTGTTCCACTGGGAATGTGAAGGAAAAAAAGCTGAAGATGGCATCCCAAAGGACAAGGAAATTTCATACTAATGTACTTTTTGGACATATCACACAAAGTGGAACAGCAGTGATTATACGACATATCCTATATTTTTTTGAAGTGGCGCCATCTGTTTTATTAGGTGGGTATTAAGCTGCTTCAATACACACACTAAAATATTCCAACCATATTTCATGAAAATTCAATAATCTACGTTCAAATTTTGAAATTATCACCTCCTTTAATCCATCATATTGCTCAGATATCAGCATCAGGCTAGATTTAATAATAATAATATGTTTACGGGCACCATCAATATGATAAATTACATATACGATTAGTAAGCATATTTAATAATAATAATAATAAATTAATGTAATATATTTTCAAGTATTGGTTTTGTAGGGATTTTGTTTGATTGCATGGAGGATTCCATCATCAGCTGACATCAGTTAGAGAACCACTGGAAAATTAGCTGGGAGTACTGGACAGCTGTTTCGTCCTAGTTTGGGGCTCTTCATCAGTACGCACCCACCACGATTGCTCACTTGTGACTGGCCCTATTCAGGCAGTTAACCTGGGGTTCTAGTGGGAAGCTGTGACCAATAGGGTACAGCAGGTTGAAGATGAGGCAGTAACTCATCGAAGAAGACATTGCGAAATGGTCGCACTATGTCGTGCATTGGCAGAAGTTAGAATTCATGAGATGGCCATTGAATCCGGTCTCAGTGGCTCAATGGTTACGAGCTCGCCTTGTAACCACAAGGTCCTGGGTTGAAATCCCGGTGGGTACGTAGTGATGAAGAGTCCCAAACTAGGACGAAACAGTTGTCCATTACTCCCAGCTAGTTTTCCAGTGGTTCTCTAACTGATGTCAGCTCATGATGAAATTCTCCATGTAATATAAGATATATTTATGTCTATTTATGTAGGACACACCAGTTGTGCAGGCATTGATAAGTATTATTTAAATTACATAAATTTGGTTTATGGTGAAATTACATGGTTGCTGTCTTTTTTGCCGTTAGCTTGTGGGAACAATGTGATAACTAGTCATTCGGTGGAGCACATCAACAAATATAGAAATATTGTCTTCGCATTAACAAAAAGAGCCCAAGTATGTGCTGGATGGATTACAAATACTAGGGGAAAAATAAAGCTTGAAGTTATTTCCCTTATATAACTTTAGTGTGTACAGCGTCGAATCTTATTCTTGATTTATATCCAAATTGGGTATTAATTTAAAATAAGTGATGTATTTGTATAGTTTTGTCAGCATTTTCATCTTAAGTAACACCAGAAGTGAATTGTACTCAATGCAGACTAATAATAATATTAATAATTTATATTTTCTTATAAACGGGTGTTTACAAGAAATGCATACCATTTTTACAGGCACGATCAGTTAGATGATTTATCAGTCCATATGCGGCCAGGAACCAGAATAATGGAGAATTAAGCCATATAAAATGACAATTGGGGCATATAGCAGCTGGAAATTATCATCACGCGACTCAGTGAGATTTCAAACGCCGCCATTAACATGTACATCAGAAAAACCTTTTTAATAAGGAATTTCATTTAGAAAACATAAAAGTTGTATGTGTCATTAAACCGCCATAGCAAACGGACTACGACGCTACAGTTAGCGGAGATGTGCAATGAATCCATTCGTGGAACAGTACTATTTAATAGATAACAAAGTTTCAAACAGAATTTATTGTTCGTTGTCATAACAATAGAAACTATGAACAACTTCGAAACTTGGTTTTTATAGTCCCCATCCTTCTCTCTCACTTGTTGTGGGGGTGGTTCACTTCTTCAGATGTTGGGGATAGATATTGAATCATTTCATCTGCATATGTTCTCGGCTGATTTGTTTCAGATATTAGTCTCATCCTCCATCCAGTTACATTAGGTCCTCACGCTGCCACTTTATCCCATCCTATTTTTTTTCCTTCACGTTCCAAGTGGAACATAGGGCTTCAAGCTA